CTCGAGTCCTGCGAAGTCACCGATGGCCCGAAGGGGGAGGGGGGGGGGTCCCGAGGCGAGCGGGGACAAGCCCCAGATCGTCTGCGCAGGCTCCGAGCTTGTTGGGTCCAGGGAGGGTTCTTTACATGCTGACTAAATGACGGATAGGGGCGTCAAATGCGAGTGCCCATATTGAACCTGGCAGTGGACATCCCTGGAGAACGCTAGAACCGATTTAAAGCACGTGCTGTAGCTGGCCGCCAATTCGGGCCCATGCACCAGGAGCGTCGGGGGAACAAAAAAAAAGCAGAATGACGTTGAGGTAGCCTGGGGGAACTCCATGAGCTAGGAGGGCTGCAAGTAGGAATCCCCATCCTGAGGATGGGGATGCAGCTTTGATGTCAAAGCTGATTAGGATCGGGAGGTCATCAGAGGCCTCTGGAGAGTGACCTACACTGCGTGCTTCAGAGTCTAGCGTCAGTATGTGCTTTCCGGGATTCCTGCCTATCACGAAGCCTTGCTGCGTGTCCTCTGTGCGATCGCGAACCACATAAACCAGACCCATGTTGACGACGTGCGCGATCAGCTTGGCATCGCAGTTCTTCAGGGAGAGTGGGCGCGTGGCCCCTGGAGAGCAAAACGCTGCACATTGATCCTGGGGGTCATCGCCTTTGGGGGGAAGAACGAAGATCGAGTCGTTGAAACGATGCGGGGCGAAGCCTGTTTCGAACATCTGCGTCGTCAGCTCATGCAGGATCTGGGAGGAGCCTTGACTAGTGGCCCATGCTGCATGGGGTCTCTGATCGGACCCTGGTGCTGTGTGACGAACCTTACGGAGAGCTCGCTTGAAGTCCTCCAGGGCAGGGGCCCTGAGGTCCGCGCAGTCGAAGCTGGGGAAGTGCTTTTCGAAGAACTGCTGGACCGCGTTGGGGCCCACGATCTTGGGCGAGAAGATGGGCTGCCAGAACTTCTGAGGACCTTCAAGAACCCCCTCTGGTGTTTTGACTAGAGAGTGAGAGGTGGCGCCTGGGGCCTCTTTTGGAATCCTTAGTCCTGATAGCACGAATCGGCGACGGAACGGATTCCATGCCTGGGCGCGCCGGGTGAGCTGCAAGGCGGCGCGTCTGCTGGCTCCTTGATCGGGGAGTCCTTCGGCCCCGTCCTGCAGGCGCTCGGTGGCAATGGCGATGCGCCTCTCGTAGCCCGCGGTGGCTGCAGTGTCCATGGCCTTGATGAACTCGTCTCTGTTCGTGAGCTCGGGTCCGTCTTCGGTGATGCGTAAGTGGTAGCTGCCTAACTCCGTCGTGGCAACGAGGAATGCGGCTGTATCTTTGTCCTTCCTCCAAATCGTCCTGGCAATTGATCGCAATGCGGTGGGCCCCCCATGCCTGGCCCAGCGGCTGAGGTCTTGAAGCGAGGTGCGCTGCTGGAGGTTGCGGGTGAGCCTGGCTGCTTCCTCGATAATGAGCTCGTGCTGCTGCCGCGCCGCTGTCGGTGCGAGGTCGGCCTTGGCGATGTGGTTCTTCAGCATGTCGAAGTGGCGCTGGTAGGAGGGGTCATAGAAGATGATGGGGTCGAGTGCCTGCTCGTCGATAAGCGTTGCCGATATGTTGCTGAGCGAGAAGTGAAGAATGGCATGACCACTGAGTCCTTGATCAGACAGAGCCGCGCCGCCCTTGTGGATCTGCAAGTTGCGTCTACACTGAGGAGGTCGATGCCTGTGAGCGAGATCAAGATGCGGTCGATGGTGGTCGCAGCCTGCGCGTTGGCCGAAAACTGGGTGGGCAAGTCGTGGGTAATCTCCGTGAGCGTCGCGAAGAGCTGCCGCCATCGTGCCTGCTCGCACAAGTACGGACCGTCTGGAGCCATGGGGCGCCAGCGAGCCGCAGGGTCTCGGATGTTGAAGGACGGGGCGGCGCTCGTGTCGAAGCCGCCCGAATCAGGCAAACAAAAAAAACGCCGTTGCGGCAGAATCGCAGCCCATGTTCTAGAGGCCTGCCACGCATCCTTGACTTTGTCCATCGCCGTCGCATCGAGGTCAAAGTTGTGTGCATACAGGGGCGCCGCATCGAAGCCTGTCGAATGGTTGGCGATGTGCGCGGCAGCTGCGCGTCCATGTATAATCGGCTGTAGCGGGATAGAGGTGGTGGGGCGCGCAGGCGTCGGGACCAGAAAGGCCAGCCCACCTTTTCCTCTGCAATGTTCGCCTGCCTCATTCTTGCAACCACTGTAAAAGATCTCGCATGCGTACGGCAACTTCGCGAGGTGGGATTGCAAAACCCGCGGCGAGCCACGCGCTTCCTGAAGCACAATGATGGCGAGCCATGCGCTTCCTGATGAGCCATGCGCTTTCTGTGCGGATTGTCGCAGGTTGGCCCGCCTTTTTCTATCGCCATGGCATGACAACCCGCGCGTGTTCCAGCAGATGGAGTGGCCTTTCGGGTCGGATGAGGTTGCACGGGTTGCGATAGAGGCAGCATGTGGGGCTGAGGTAGACGGCGATAAACGGCCTGTTGTAGCACTGGATGCATCCGCAGAAAATGAGGACGTGGATGCGGACGAGGATGTCGAAGTAGAAGTCGAAGCACTCTCCGAGGAAGGAGGTGGGGTTCTGCATCACATCATGCAGGAGACAGTCTCGTTCAGGAAGCATATAGACGTCCTGCGGCGGCGAAGAAACCTCTGGAGGGCTCTCCAGTCCCTCGGTAGTAGCAGGGGTGATCCAGTCCCCGTGGGAAGGGGGATCTGGCGCGGCGCGCATATGATGCGATTCGCGACGCAGGGGGGGGGGGGGGGGGGGCGTGTCTAGCATCCCGTGGAGTTTGTCTGCGATGCTGTGGATCGTCTGTGAAGCTGTGGCTTTTGTCTGTGAAGCTGTGGATCCTGTCTGTGAGGCTGTGGATATTGTCTGCGATGCTGTGGATCTTGTCTGTGAAGCTGTGGATCTGGTCTGTGAAGCTGTGGGTCTTGTCTGCGAGGCTGAGGATCGTGTCTGACATGCGGAAGGTCTTGTCCAGCTGCGCGTGGACCTTGTCTATGTGCAGGTAGGGGTCGCACGTGGTGCAGGGGGTGTAATCGTTGGTCCAGATGCAAATGATTTCCACGCGGACGAGCGTGGTCTGCGTCCGAGAAGGGCGTGCGCCACGGCGACCACCGTCTGTTAAATCCATTGCGCGGTGTCCTCGGCCCTGTAGAGGGCGGCGAAATCGGTAGCAATGGTGGCCTTGTTGATGGGGGCCTTGGCTGGCGCATCTTGATTCCAGCGAATGACCGCTGCTGCGCCCATGCTAGTGAGCTCCAGTTTGGCGGCGGGGATGGTGTCGCAGAAGATGCGTCCTTGATCGCGACGCGCGCGCCAATTGTGCGCGGGGTCGTGCTGATGGCATAAGGTAAGTAGCTTCCTAGATTGAGTCTCCAATCAGATGCGGCGGAGGTTCTTGTCTGGGGTCTGGGTTGACATGAAGCGAAACATACTGGCCTTGATTGATGACGCAGTCTGGCGGGGTCTGAACTGTGAATCTTCTGCAGCCTCCTCGTCCTGGTAGCTGAAGTGCCTTTGCCAATGCCATGGCACGGGGCATGGCCACCTTGCGTCCTCCCAGTATTTGTAGCACGAAGCGGCGGTTAGGACCTTCACCGTGTAGTTGATACTGCCGTGCGGCGATTTCGGCTGCGGAAATCCACTCCAGGATGGCTGTGGACAGCTTCACAGGAGACTGGTTGAGCGCAAGAGAGGATGAAGATGGCGGGGCCAGGCCCCCGATCCCGATCGGATAACTTAGCCATGTCCAAGATGGGGGCGTCGGCGCCGGAAAGGCTGAGCTGCTGGTTGATGCCACTGATGGCATCCCAGACTTCCTTGTGTTGAGCTTCTTGTCGAGCTTGTGCGGTTGTGATGGCCATGAGGTCTTGCTCTTGTCCGTCAAGTCTTCTGGTAGTGGCAGTTTCATGTCGCTGAAGTGCAGCGAGGAACTGAGCTTGCGAGGCGCCAGTGGTGTTGCCGACGGCGTTGGTGATGTCTGTGGTCTGCGCTGCCAAGAAAGTACGTAGTTCTCGCTGTGCGTCGGGTCCAAGCTTGGAATCTGGTCCAAAAGCATGCGGAGAGCCACCCATGGGTGTCGCTGTTCCTCCAGCAGGCGCAGGCGCTGCTGCAGGCTCTTCCACGGCTGCAGGTTGAGAGGCAGTGGCATGGGAACTGGCTGCTGTGATACGAGAGAGTAGTCGAGCTGCTTGAGCTGCTTGAGCGGCGAGCCATTCTTGCTGAGGTAGGAGCGCGTGTGATTCCGCCATTCGCTGGGCTGCCTTGCAAGCGCGCTGTTCCTGATCTGGGAATGTGGGGGCGTTCTCCCATTCTTCCAACAGCGCTCGCTGCATCGTTTCCTGCTCCTCTGCTGTGTGAAATTGCGCTGAGCCCTGTTGATGTTGAGTTGGTCCTCGCGAGCGTCCACTGTAAGCTTTAGGTGGAGCCCGCTGGTCTGAAGGAGAAGAAGAAGAAGAAGGTGGACGTCGATCACGATCGCGGCGGCGTCCTCTACCGCGGTTCCATTCCTGGTCTCGGTCTCTGCGATCACGTTCTCGGCGGCGGTCACGTCGTTCACGATGAGTGGCTTGGCTTCTGTTTTTTGAGTCGCAGCGGTCGGTGTCGGTGTCCATGCGGTAGCATTGAGGTGTGTGAGTCCACGAATCGCCTGTCCAACGCCAAGAGAGAGCAGAGCCACGCCAATGATATGGAGGTGCAAGATGTGAATAAATTGTTGTCTGAACGTGCGCTTCGTTCTGAAGATATGAAGTGGCACCGCGGGCAGGGCAGCCGTGGCGGGCCTGGGAAACGAAACTGAAGCTGATCGGCCAGATGCCTTGGGAAATGTATTACTTGAGCCAAAATGGCTTGAGCCAAAATGGCTACGGAGGAGGAGCAGGAGGAGGAGGAGGAGGAGGAGGAGGAAAAAGAGGACAGGCGGGCTTGGTCGTGCCTGGGCCCCTGTGGTCCTCATGGTAGCCAACCGACCACGAGTCTTGGCCTGCTTGTCGCGCCTGCGCCGCAAGAGCTCCCCCGGCGAACACATATGACAGCGCAAACACTCGCTGCCGTTCTCGCAGCCCCCGGGCCCCCAGAACCAGCTGCACGGCTTGCACGCACCCGATGCGTGCAGGGCGGAGCCTATGGACAGCTGCCCTTGCAGCCCTGGTGGTGCCAGCACGCCCAACTGCATTTGCGCTGCTGCCAGGGCTGCGATGCGCTGTTCCGTGGCTGCCACGGAGAGGCCCGGGTGGCCCGCATGCCGAAGCTGCAGTGCCTGATGCTTGAAGGCCAGCGTCTTCTGCTTCCTGCGATGGACCAACACGTCCGCGGAACAGACGTGGCAGTGGCGGCACTCCGCGCCGTTCTGGCAGCCACCCCGCTTCCAGAACCAACCGCAAGGCCTGCACGTGCCGGAGGCGTGCAGCGCGGAGCCCACCGACGGCAGACGCCCGGCCAGAGGAGGCGCCGCCAGGGCAGCGCGGGCGGTGGGAGCGTCCTCGTCCGCGCTGGCGGTCGTCGAATCCCCCGAGAGCGGGGCGGCGCCCGCGGCCGCGCCGCAATCCGCCTCCGAGGGCGCGTGCGCGCACGAAAGCGCAGCCAACCCGGGGGGCGGCCGAAAGGCCAGCCTCGTGGCCGCGAGCAGCCGGAGCCGCCCGCCCTCGGCGCGAGGGAGCGCCACCTGCGCCGCCGTCGCGGCCAACGCGGCGGCGGCGGGCGGCGGCGGGGGCCTTGCCGGCGGCGGCGGCGGGCGGGCGCGGCGCGCCAAGGGCTCGCCGTCGCTGGCACAGCCGTCCCCCTCTGAGGTCCACCCGCCTCCCGGGGCATGCGGCGGCGTCCCCCCGTCTGAGGGGGCGGGGTGGGGGCGTTCCGCGGGGTCCTCGGCGCGCGTGGAGCCGGTGAAGACGCGGCCCATGCAGTCCTCGGAGCCGCTGCTGCTCATGCTGACCAATGGTAATCGTTTTTCTCTACTCGGCGTCCAGGGAGCGTTTTGGGCCTCCAGGGCCGCCAGCACAACGGGGTCGGCAGCTTGGGGGCCCACGGATCGGACATAGTCAGTTACATCGGAGGGCCTGCTCTCAAAATCCAGCCATACAGCCATCGTGCTACGATACGGAACGCTGAAAGAGGATGAACGAGGACGGCTCGGCTTTCCTGGCCACGGCGAGCCGCGGCCACGGATCGGATCCACGACCTGACTTTAGGGAACGGCCCGAAAACCAGAGCCCCTCCAGAGTCCAAAAGGGTCCTTGTTTCAGAGTCTTGACTGTCATGCGCCCCTGGACACCTCCCGGGGTCCATCCTGACCAGGACTTCCGAGCTGCGTCCAGCCGTGGCGACGAGGAGCCTCCAGAAACGCCCGAGCACGTCCGAAACGACGACGTCGTCGTCGGTCCGGGGCCCCTGCGGTCCTCGGAGCTCGCGCCGCGGACCACGCTGCTGGGGCGGGCCGACATCTCGCCTGCGGCCCACCGACCTCGCGGGGCCTTGCGAGGGCACCCCTGCCTGCGATGCAAGATCTGACTGAGCCAGACGACCCTGGCAGCGAGGAGAGGGCGGGCGCATCTGGTTGGTGTGAAGATGCGTCGAAGGGGGGATCGACATGCCTGCTCCAACTTCCCGCTTCCAAACTTTCCCGCTGTCAGCTGCCCCGCTGTCCGATTTCCCGCTGTCAACGCGTTTTCCCATCTTCCCCGCTATCAGACTATCTGCAGCCCATGTTCCAGCTAGCAACTTTCCAGATTTCTGACTTTCCTGATTTCCAACTTACCCGTACTCCAACTTCCACCTTTCTGTTCTCCCGCAGTCCGTCTTTCCTACCTTCTAGCCTTCAGCCTTCCAGCTTGTCGCTTTCCAACTTTCCACGCGCTATGCATCTCTCTCTGACTTTCTCTCTCTCCCTCTCTCTCTCTCTCTCCCTCTCTCTCTCTTTCCCTAGTGTATATTTCCCCTCCCCTTCTCTATTTCTCTTTCTCCTTCTCTTTCTCCTTCTCTCCTTCTTTCTCTCTCCCTCTCTCTCTCTCTCGTTCGTTCTCTCTCTCTCTCTCTCTCTCCCTGTCTCTCGCTCTCATTATCTCTCTCTCTCTCGTTCTCTCTCCCTCTCTCTCTTTCCCTCTCTCTCTTTCCCTCGCAATGTTTCAATGGCTGGCCTTCCTTGCGAAGGGACGTGCCCGAGGGGGGCAACGCCAGTCATCACCAAGCCATCGCTTGGAACACGGCACTAACATTTATGGTATTGCTTTGGTCTAGACCATTGGCGAATGCCATTGGAAGCGTGCTGGGCCATTCTGACACACTTCGCTTCTCTCTTTCTCTCTCTCACTCTCTCTCTCTCTCTCTCTGTCTCTCGCTCTCTCATTGAATGGTCTCCCCTAAGTCCGAATGGTGGTGTTGAAGATTCAGAATCAAACTTTGGACTGAGGGGGGGAAACGATGGGAAAGCGGGGGGGGGAAAGCGAGAGTAGCAGTCTCATAGCGGTCCCCGTTCACGGCCGACGCTCCACGCTATTCTCCGCACAACGCCCAAGTTGCCGCGCGACTCTCACCAGCATGCAGAAGCCCCCTCCCCGCACAAGTCTGCGCCAACAACTGCACCAGACGAAATACTTAGATTTGTTTCCTAACCCTGGAGCCCACATCTCCGACCACTTGACTTTTTGAGTCGCCAACCCCTGCACTCCCGCCCGACCCTTCCCCAAAACGGCTTTGCCATCTAGCGTATTTTTCGAAGGTCCGAATGTCCGCTGGAATCGGTCCCCAACCGCCCAAAATTAGCCTGGCGAAGGACCCAACCATATGCAGTTGTGAATGCCGCAGTTGTGCTGGGTGGTGGCGGACGCATGCGGGCGGTGCCACTGGGACCTTCGGTGGAGCCCCCTATGGGGCCACGAAACGCTGTACTGGGTGGGCGAGACGCGGTCAGCAAGGGCTGTGCTGCGTGGTGGCGGACGCATGCGAGCGGTGCCACTGGGACCTTCGGTGGAGCTCCCTATGGGGCCACGAAGCGCTGTACTGGGTGGGTGAAACGCAGGCAGTGAGCAAAGGCTGTGCAGGGTGGTGGCGGACTCATGCGGGCGGTGCCGCTGGGACCTTTGGTGGAGCTCCCTATAGGGCTACGAAGCGCTGTTCTGGGTGGGCGAAGCGCAGGGAACAAGGGCTGTGCTGGGTGGTGGCGGACGCAAGCGGGCAGTGCCACTGGGACCTTTGGTGGAGCCCCCTATGGGGCCACGAAACGTGCGAGGGGTGTGCCAGAATGGAATGTGGAACCGCATGCCAGCGCAGCCACTGGGGCCTTCGGTGGAGCTCCCTATGGAGCCACGAAACGTGTGAGGGGTGTGCCGAAATGGGGGGTGGAACCGCATGCGAGCGCAGCCACTGCTGCCTTCGGTGGAGCTCCCTATGGGGCGACGAGACGTGTGAAGAGTGTGCCGAAATGGGGGGGGTGGAACCGCATGCGGGCGCAGCCACTGGGGCCTTCGGTGGAGCTCTCTATGGGGCCACGAACCGTGTGAGGGGTGTGCCGAAATGGGGGGGGGAACCACATGCGAGCGCAGCCACTGGGGCGTTCGGTGGAGCTCCCCATGGAGCCACCCACGAAGCGTGTGAGGGGTGTGCCGAAATGGGGGGTGGAACCGCATGCGGGCGCAGCCACTGGGGCCTTCGGTGGAGCTCCCTATGGGGCCACGAAACGTGTGAGGGGTGTGCCAGAATGGGGGGTGGAACCGCATGCGGGCGCAGCCACTGGGGCCTTCGGTGGAGCTCCCTATGGGGCCACGAAACGTGTGAGGGGTGTGCCAGAATGGGGGTGGAACCGCATGCGGGCGCAGCCACTGGGGCCTTCGGTGGAGCTCCCTATGGGGCCACGAAACGTGTGAGGGGTGTGCCAGAATTGGGGGTGGAACCGCATGCGAGCGCAGCCACTGGGGCCTTCGGTGGAGCTCCCTATGGGGCCACGAAACGTGTGAGGGGTGTGCCAGAATGGGGGGTGGAACCGCATGCGGGCGCAGCCACTGGGGCCTTCGGTGGAGCTCCCTATGGGGCCACGAAACGTGTGAGGGGTGTGCCAGAATGGGGGGTGGAACCGCATGCGGGCGCAGCCACTGGGGCCTTCGGTGGAGCTCCCTATGGGGCCACGAAACGTGTGAGGGGTGTGCCAGAATGGGGGGTGGAACCGCATGCGGGCGCAGCCACTGGGGCCTTCGGTGGAGCTCCCTATGGGGCCACGAAACGTGTGAGGGGTGTGCCAGAATGGGGGGTGGAACCGCATGCGGGCGCAGCCACTGGGGCCTTCGGTGGAGCTCCCTATGGGGCCACGAAACGTGTGAGGGGTGTGCCAGAATGGGGGGTGGAACCGCATGCGGGCGCAGCCACTGGGGCCTTCGGTGGAGCTCCCTATGGGGCCACGAAACGTGTGAGGGGTGTGCCAGAATCGCATGGAACGCAGCCATGCTCCCTATCGTGTGCCACCTGGGGCCTTCGGTGAGAAACCGCATATGGGAGCTCCCCACGAAACGTGTGAGGGGTGTGCCAGAATGGGGGTGGAACCGCATGCGGGCGCAGCCACTGGGGCCTTCGGTGGAGCTCCCTATGGGGCCACGAAACGTGTGAGGGGTGTGCCAGAATGGGGGGTGGAACCGCATGCGGGCGCAGCCACTGGGGCCTTCGGCGGAGCTCCCTATGGGGCCACGAAACGTGTGAGGGGTGTGCCAGAATGGGGGGTGGAACCGCATGCGGGCGCAGCCACTGGGGCCTTCGGTGGAGCTCCCTATGGGGCCACTAAACGTGCGAGGGGCGTGCCAGAATGGGCGTGGGAGGGGGAGGGGGGGGGAGGAAGGGGAGGAGGAGGAAGGAGGAGGAGGAACGCGGGGCAACGTCTCTTCAAAACGAGGACCCAACACCACAGGATGGTTGGGGAAAAAATCATCATGAGAAGCTTGGGCCAGCTTCCGGGTCGCCAGAAGCCTGGGCCCCTCCTCAAAATCGACAGCAAAACCTTTCCCCAGATGCGGTCTGGCCAGAACCTCTATCATAATCCAGCCGTGGCGACAATAGCGCCCCAACCAACCAAATCCCAAATTACGAACAACTCTAACACCCGCCGAATCTGTCGGCGTGTGTGTGTGTGGAGAGAGAGAGAGAGAGAGAGAGAATGACGGCCTCCCATCCTCGGCAAGTGAACACGTCTCCCCTTTCCCTGTGGACTCTGGGGCCTCGGGCGCGTTAGCTCAATGGGAATCGAATAAATGCGCCATCGAATCAAAAGGGGAACCCTCCCCCAGGGGAGTGTTTTCCTTCCCCTGGGGCAAGGTTTTGAGGAAGGTCCAGGAGAGAGTGCGAGTGTGCGTGGGGGAGAGAAGGGGGGCGGTTGGGAGGGCGCGGCGGGAAGGATTTGGGGAGCCCGCCCCCTCCCCTCGGAGGAAATGTCCCCACCCGAGCCCACTTTTAGCGAGGTTTACCGATGGTTCCAAAGGCCTGTGCTGGAGCCGTCTTGAAGGTTTCCTGCGCCCTCCTGGAAACTCCCGGGGCTGACCCAAAAGGCCTTAAACGTCAACGGCCCGTCAGCGTTGTCGCAGTTTTGCATGTTACTCGAGTCGTCCAGAGGCTGACAACGCCTCCCCTAGACGGCGCCCGAGACTCCCAACAGCAGCCTCGAAGGCTCCCAAACGGGCCCAAGGGCCTACGCAAGCGCGCGACCGCCACACCGCCGCGAGGCCCCCCTCCAACATGGACCGAAGACTCCCCCAAATCCTTCCACATGTGCATGTAGGTTAACGCCCGAAGAGTCGAACCTTCAGAAATACCTGTAGGTAGAGGAGGGTTAGGGAAAGGGTGGCGATCCCTCTTCCCATGCGCCGCGGGCAGGCGGCGCGGCACCAGTTAGCAATGCCTGAGCCGGGACGGTAGCAGGATAGATGGATAGAAAGGTGGTACGAGCGGACTTCACGCGCAAACGCACACCCCGCCCCGAATCCCGCCCGCTCCACGTGGACCCAGGGCCCGCGGGAGGCAAACGCGGGGCTCGGGATCAAAGTGCGAGGTCCACTCGACGCACCTTTCCATCCCCCGCAACCTCCAAGTGAGGCCGCCACGGGTTAGAACAAAGAGAAAAGGACCAACCACGTCACGCAAAGCATTTGTTGGAGCCTACCCGCCTTTAGCGGGCACAGGGGGCGCCCCCCCAAAACGCTTCGGCACTCCCGGGCGACCCCCCGTTTCCACGGGTGACGAGGTTGGGAGGCCAAGGGATAGAAGAAGTTAACAACGAGGCCGCCTCGCAGATGCAGACGCAGGTGTTTGCACCTGCGTGCAAAACGTCGCGCGCAAATTATCCCGGCAAAGCAACCTAACAGCGATGTGTAGGAGATTGTCTGGAAGCATTCCCCTTAAGATTCAGATGATAATCCAGTTGTAGAATTCTGCTGTTCTCGCAGTCGTAGTCGCATTCGCGATGACAGTCGCAGTGGCAACGGCAGTCGC